ATATATATATATATATATATATATATATATATATATATATCAGTGAATCGTCCTTATGTTCTTTTTTCGAGTTACAGAACTTGAAAGTCGGTCAAGAGCGCTTTGTGCATCCTCCATAGATTCCGAACAGGCAAACGATGTCATCAGCGTACACTAAATCACTCAGCTTTTCTCCAGCTGCCCATTCAATACCTACGTTCTGGAGACCACTAAGTGCGCTCTCCAGTACTTCGTCAACGACGAAATTCAACAGAAATGGCTAAATAAAGCACCCTTGACGGACACTGCTGCTGATTTCGAACGATTTACTTAGTCCATGGTAGACCGTTACGCTACCAGAAGTATGCAGGTACAGCGACCGCAATGGGTTTACATACCTTGGCGGCAATCCTTTGCGGAGCAGCGACCCCAGAAGAGCATGACAGACAACTGGATCGAAGGCTCCTTTTAGGCTAAGGAACACTGCGATTGTTGGCCGGCGAGGTGTGTGACGCAACTGGAGTGCTTGAGGCAAAGTGAAGATTTGGTCGATGCACCTGTGACCTGGTCGGAATTCTGCTTGTTGTTCGCGGATATTCCTCCCTTCTAGGGTGTCATGCGGCGAAGTATCAAAGAAGTCAACACTTTTGTGATTATTGGAACTAAACTAATCGTACGGTGGTTAGCGCAGTCGTTACGTGATTCCGTCTTGAAGATGGGGACGATCAACGATTCACCCCAAGACAAAGGGATACGGTCTTAAGTACAAATGCCGTGAAGTAAGCTAGTAATTGGGTCAACAAGAGAATCACCGCCCACCGTGAAAAGAATAGGGAGAAGCGCATCAGGTCCGACTGCCTTTTATTCCTTTAGTAATTGAAAGCAGCTTCGTACTTCCAATTCTGATGGGGGCTCGCATGTTACCACCCATGTTGTTTCCGTCGCAATTGCTGGAATGACTGCATCCGCTCTGGGCCAATTGAATTGTTCACTAAAATACTCTGCCCGGCGATCAAGTCGTTCTTCTTTATTGTGGATACTCTACCCACTTTTATCGTAAATGGTCTCACTGATCGGTATGCGATGACCTTCGGTGCTGCGTAGCAGGTGAAATAATGTTCGACTGTTCCCTGAAGCAGAAGCTACCTTTATTTCACTAGCTATTTTGGCCCACCAATTTTTGCGATCTTTATAAAGGCTACTCCTGAGTTGACGTCATCGGCAGAAATCGCCTCTTCAGTTAGCTGATCATCGTCTACGCATCCATTTGTCTGCGCACGTTATCTTGAGAAGCGTGGACAGGAACTGTGAGAACGGCGACATAGTGGAGTAGACCAACAGAGGGATAAAAGTAGATTTGCGATGCACTCAGCAGCAAACTTTGCTTGTCGGACCGAGCCCGAAGTTCGCCAAAGGCATTGGATCTCTCAGGAGTCAGTAATCCTGATGGACCGAAATCGAAAGATCCCAATCTGCCAGGATCAACATAAGGACCGATATCGCCTGCAGAACTGAGGTAGTCGATCACCGTTGTCGGTTCGCTGGGCGGGGAGGGTGAAATGCCCTCCTAGACAGGCTTCGGATGCGCTCAGTTTTCTAACCTGCCAGTTAAAATCACATGCCAACACTTTAATATCACGGCTTTGGCTCAACCGAATCAGTTGGGCGAGTTTGTCGTAAAATTCGTCTTTATGTGAAGCGGAACTGCATACGCGGAAATGATGAACAAACACCTTTTGGTGTTGCTACTCTTCTGAACACTGACTGAACCCTGTAGCCTAATTGAACACAAACCACTATTGACGGGTATCCAATCTATCAAAGAGACTTCAGTTTTATCGTTTAGTACGATCCC